GTAGAGGATTAGCTGTTCCTCCATCCACCCAAGCCATAAGTCTATCATTCTTTATATGATTATTCATAGGAACAGTATCATTCAATATCCAATATGAATTGGACTTATTATACTCACTACAACCTTTTAACCAACTACCCAAAGGACCCCAATCAATCTAAGTATGATTTTGAGACCTATAAATTTTCCCTTTCATCCCTCTACAGTTTTGCCAAACCAAAGGTTTATAGTACTTTATCCGATTATAAGAAAAGCCTTCACATTCTAACAAAACTGGGGCATCTATGTCCTTATATTCTGTCCAATCAGGACCTACAGACTGAGCCGAGAGGTGCACCATATGTGTACGACTCCTATCCCAAGTACCACCAGGAACAATCCAATTTTGCTGTCTTATAGGATAACAAGGAGGAATTCCAAAGCACATAATATCAGGAGACACAAATTGAGTATAATTAAAAAAAGTCCCTTCTTCATTAGGATAATCTGGCTGACCTGTTCCATAAGGTGGAGATAACACATTCATAGGAAAAGTTGTAACTACTACAATAGGTTCCTTCCAAGTATAAGGACGGAGAAGAGGGGGATTAGGTACATGAGCCCAATATATTACCTCAGCTTCAACAGCAGGAGGGCAAATTATCAAAGTGCACATAGCTAGAAATAGATGTTCTAGGGTAAACTTCTTTCCTGCATGACTAACCACAGACCAAGCCTTAGAAAGCAAGGCATACATCTGAACCCAAGTGGGATATGATAACCTTTCCTGATGGTACTGACGTTTATTAATCTCCAATAATGTCTCCATTGTTTGGAGTAACAGCTCTCGATCCTTTCTGTGTCGCACCGCCGTCTTTATTGGTCGGAGTCCGCAAACGGATCCATCGGCCAGGATGCCAGAAGGAGACTCCATTTCCTGTAGAGACAAAACCATACCCTTTGCCTGGAATCAATAATTTTCCTGGTATCCAATCTTGAGATTCTCCTGGCTTAATCCAGACGTCCACTGGATCAGGTGGGAGTGATGATTCTTGTAAAAAATGCTTATCTGCACGAGATAAAACTTCTCCTTGGGGGAGATTTAGGAAGTTGATAATAAACAATATTTCATATATTAATAACTTATAATTCCTCCGTCCTAAGGTTCTAAATTCCTCATAATCTGGTGTATAATTCCTTCCTTTTAATTTTTTAATATACAGTTTAATATATCCATTAGTTCGTTCTATTATAGCTTGTCCTTGAGGATTATATTCAATTCCAGTTATATGATTAATTTTATGAAATTCCAAAAATTTCCTAAATCGCCTGCTAGTATAAGCAGGAGCATTCTCTGTTTTAAGGGCGGTTGGAATGCCCATTACAGCAAAACAGGCCAATAAATGTTCAATACTATGATTAGTAGTTTCTCCAGTAAGAGGAGTAGCCCAAACAAACTTAGAATAAGTATCTATGGTAACATGTAAATATTGCAACCTTCCAAAAGCAGGTACATGAGTAACATCCATTTGCCATAAATCATTAGGCTGTTGACCACGAGGATTAACTCCTGTAGGCAGTGTTCGAAGATGTAAAGGGCGGCACACTGAGCAGCGTCTAATAATTTGTTGTGCTTGTCTATATGGTATTTTATAATAATTATGTAAAAATCCAGCATTAGTGTGTCTAGCATCATGATCAGCCTGTACATCAACAAAAGAGACTAAAAGATCAACTCTAGCGTTGCCTTCTGTAAGTGGTCCCAGAAGATTACTAGGAGAACATATATGCATAACAT